CGCCGCCGCCGCCGCTGCTAGCGCCTGTGGTGCTAGTGCTACTGCCGCCAGCTCCGCTACTGTCCGCCGGGCTTCTGCTCACGAAGCCGGTGACGTCACCGCCGCTGCTACCGCCGCCGCCGCCGCCGCTAGTTTCGTCAAGCCCAGCAGGGAATTCACCGATGGCGCCTTCATCTCCCGCAGTCATCGATAGAAGGTACGGCATGCTACTGCCGCCTCCGCTGCCGACGGAGATCTCCGTTGGCATCATAAGGCCTTCGTTTGCACTTGCCAGGCGCTCTAGCGTTTCTAAGGCACCAGATATGAGCCCCATATCACCACTGAACCCTAAGCCACCGCTTCCGCTGCGCTGCGATTCCATGCCGTACTCACCGCCGCCGCCGCCGCCGCCAATGCCTGCCTCTCGCTGGACAGCGGCCCCAACCCCGCCCCTTCCGCTGCTGCCCCCGTCGCTGCCGCCACCTATCACAGCTGCTCCGGCCGAGGTGCATCCTTCGCCGTACAAGCTGTACGGCGGAATGCAAAGTGCTGTCGGCGCACCTTCGGCGCCGCTTCCGCTTCCGCTGGCGCCGGCTCCGCCACCCAGGCAGGTGAAAGTGTCGGACAAGGAAACCGCCCCGGCGGCGCTGGCGGAAATGGCGGCGGCCACAAGTCCTTGATGCTGCGGCCACGCAACCTCGCCGCCGCCACCGCCGCCGCCGCTGGCGCTGCTGCCTGACGCAGGGCCCAGGAGGCTGGTCAAAGCACCATCGCTGACGCTGACCGCCAGACTGGAGCCGCCACCCGCCAGCGTTCCCCCTTCCCCGACGGCGCTTGATCCTCCTGCAGCCCCGGCTGTCAAGTAGCGTAAGTACCGCTGCTTAGTCTCCTCCACCGCGGCGGCCGCCAGCGCCGCCACCGGCAGGTCTGGCGACGGCGGCGGCGCCGCCGCCACTTCCTTTGCCTCCGTCCCCGCCGCCAAGCTCTCCAGCTGGGTCGTTTCCTGCCAGCCTGGGAATAGTACGGCGACATCCAGGCCCTCCTCACTCGGAACTCCGCCGCCGCCGCCGCCGCCGCCGTCGCCGTCGCCGTCGCTGCATCCCCTGTAGATCAGCGACGAAGCTGAGCTACTGCCGGCGGCGGACTGAAGCTGTCGGACCTGCTGTTCGCGTTGCCGGCTCCGCTCCAGGGAGGCTGCTGCGGTGGCAGCGGGGCCGTCGCTGCCGGAAAGAGCACGCTGGTGACCATGGCGAGGCCGGCGCGGTGGCGTCGGCACATGCGACACCGTCGTCACACTGCCGCCGCCGCCGCCGCCACCGCCACCGCCACCGCCACCGCCACCGCCATCTAGCTGCGGAGGATGCCCCCCCGCGGCACCTTCCACCATGCCGCTGCCATCACCTCCGCCGTCGCTGCCGCCGCCAGCGATTGTGGAAATGCTGCAGGTGCTTCCCCCTATGAAGCCTGGGTTGGCGGACGCGTGCCTGGCGACCTGTACGGCTCCTTGGCCCAGCGGCGGCGGCGCAGCCGCCGTCAGCTCGTCCCCCATCCCCGTGGGTACGACGGGCAGTGAATCCACCGCAGGCTGGCTCACGGCACGCATGACCTGACCCCCCGTCCTGCTGCCGCCGGAAGGTCCGCCGCCGCCGCCGCCGCTGCTGCCGTACACGGTACCGACTTTGACCTGGGAGCTGGCGGACGCGGCCGCGGCGGAGACCGGGCCGCCGCTTATCCACCAGGCCGTTCCCGGCGGCGTCATACGGCCGTACATGGGTGGGGTAGGAATGTAATCGTAGTACGAGGTCGCCATCATGCTGCCGTACTCGTCCAAGAGGACGAGGCCGTACGCGGCAGACGCCTCCTCCCGCAGGAGAGGCAGCTGCCCTAATGACGGCGATATTGATCGGGGGAGCAGCGGCATGCTGCCTCCCGCCAAGCCGCCCGCGCCGCCGCTGCCGCCGCCGCCACTTCCAGCGGTGTTTGCCACCCGTATCATGGCACTGCCCGTACTTGCCGTAACGGAGCGAAGGCCACCACGGGCACCGCCGCCGGCGCCAGCAACAAGCGTACCCGGCGGCGGCGGCGGCGGTGGCGTCGG